GGTTTCACGTAACGATTTTGGCCTTGCATCGATATCAAGAAGTGTGGAGAGTCTGCTTTTCCTGCCTGCTGGCGAGGGTTCGGCTCCCGCAGAAGCATTTTACGGTAGCTCTCTTTTCTTTACCACGGGGTGCCCGTCTCTAGACCATCTTCTTAGCGGTGGTAACGGTGCTTTGGCGAAGGACGCATCAGACGGCGGGTTTCGTGCTGGCTTTGTTTCAGAAGTGTATGGTGAGGCGGGCAGCGGCAAGACGCAACTTGTTCTACAGAGTCTGCTTCATTGTGTTGCACAGCACTTGTGTGATCGGTGGCATCCCTCTCGTACACCGGAGAGTTGCTCCAGTGGATTGACGACAGGAGGCGTGGCGGCGCTGTACATTGTCTCGGAGAATTTTCCGGCAGCTCGACTTGCAGCACTGGCGGCGGGTACTGTGGAACGAGAAAAGCGGAGGGTTCTTCGCGTATCAGCGCACCTTCCGCCATCGACTGTTGACCGGCTAAAGGCGTACTTGGAGCGGGAGGTGACAGTGGATTCCGTTATAAGGGGACTACACGTTCGTCGTGTAGGTACACTGAAGGAACTTGTTTTTTTGCTTCATTCTGGCACTTTATCAAGGGCGTTTCACGCTTTGGGTGGTCGAGGGATGGTGGCGGTGGACTCCATTGCGGGGGCTGCCGGTGCAGGTGACGGTGCGAATGGTGATGATGGAGGAGGGGAGATGGGAACAGATGTTATGGTTGTGGGGACATTATTGAAAACGTTTGCGGTACACGAGAAGGCCGCAGTGGTTGTCACCAATCAAGTGCGCTCAATGCTTTCTGGTGGACAGCAGCAGCGGCATGGCGTCAAAGACGCGGTAATACCCGCACTTGGGGTTCAGTGGTCCTTGACGCCGCATGTGCGTATTCATCTTCGACGTCTTCAAGGCGCGGGTGGCACGACACATCGAAAGCTCATTGTTCTCTCAGGTCCCTCAAATCCCCCCTTGTGCGGCGGGTACGTCATTGGCGAGGATGGCATTCGCGGGGATTTGTAAAAAGTAAGGGCGAGGTCCCCATGGAGATGACAGAAGGTACCGGCACAACATTATAAGAGTATATATATTTTTGCGTGTTTGTCACTGCAGTCTGAACGGGGCATTGCGCGACGTGTTTCCTTACGGCATGGCAGCACGGAGACGAAAAAAAAGAAGAAGGCGTCCCATCGCCATGCAGGAGAGTTGCTTTTTTTGTTTTTTAAAGGTCTTTTGGATGTATACATTCTGCCACGCGTATGGATGTGTGTTGCTGTTGATTTTTCCATCGACTCCCCATTGATGTGTTGGTCCTGGTGTTTCATGGCCGACTTTCTTCCCACTTCTTTACCTGATTTTTCCCTTATTAGTTCTTAGTGCATTAAAAAGGCTTTCGAGGACTTCTTCTATTCTTTACATCTCACTTTTTTTTTTTTTATTTGTGTGAGACTGCGTTTGCCTTTCTTCTCTCTTTTTTTTTTTTATGCCGTGACATGAGGGGGGCATTGCTGCTGCTACTTTTTGGCGCTGCGGCATATTTTTTGACGTTGTTGCACGTGGAGGCGGTAAAAGTCCGCGGCACTGAGCCCCGCCTGGTTGCGTTTGGAGACATTCATGGCGATGTTTTTCGCTGTCGCCAAATATTGCAGCTGGCAAATATTACGGATACTGAGGATCGCTGGATTGCTGGTTCTTCTATAGTTGTCCAACTTGGTGACATCGCTGATCGCGGGCTCCACCCCCACGAGATTTACGACCTTTTTGCCTCCTTGGAGCGGCAGGCAATGAGGGCGGGCGGGGAATTTATTTTTCTTGTGGGCAACCATGAGCTGATGAATATCTTGGGCATCTTCTACTACGTACACCCTGATGTTATGAGTGCCTTTGGTGGAGAAGAGGCGTACGCGGCGGCCTTTGGCCCAGAGGGTCCCTACGGCCTGTACATTCTTCAGCACCCTGTGACTGTGGTGCGCGAGGGGGTTGTTTTTGCGCACGCTGGTATCACGCCGGAGTACGCCGCGAGGGGCGTGGAGAGCATCAATGCTGAGCTGATGAACGGGTTTCGCGGCGAGCGAGACCTTCTTTTGGAAGGTGACGCGAAGGGAGATGGAGTACACACGCTCAGTAATTCCAGCAGTCCTCTGTGGTCTCGGGCCGTTCTTGACGAGGCCAAACGGGGCAACTGCTCCCTCTTGATGGAATCGCTTCGTTTGCTTTCGGCGCACGAACTGGCGTCGGGGCGACCGCCGGTGCGTGTGATGGTTGGGGGGCACACCGTTCAGGAAGGTGGAGTCATGGCGGTGGAATGCAACGGCAGCCTTGTGGGAGCCGATGTGGGACTGAGTCGGTTTTTTAGTTCCTATGGCGGGTACGTGGCGTACGTGGAGTTTGTGCTGGACGACAGCGACCCGCCGCGCCGCATCGCAGTGCCTCAGTACCCGTTTGGTCGAGCCGTGCGGCCTCCCACGCCGCCGCTGCTCAAGGACCCCATGCGGCCGCCGCGACGCATGCCTGACAACTGGCAACCATCGTCTGTACGAGGGGAAAAAGGTGAGGGGAAGTGGCGTCGCGCAGTGAAGAGGAGAACGAAGCGGGGTGACGATGGATTGCTTCATGTTTCAGTCCAGACCCTCTGCTTCTTCATTTCAGTGCTAACCTTTTTTTTGGTTTGCGTCGTGCGGCTTCGGCGGAGAAGAGTTGCGAATGGTCGGCACCGCAGTTGGTGGAAGCTGTGAGACCCGGCCACGGCTCCCGCACTCCGTTTGTCAGCTCAGTTCTTTTTTTCTCATTTATCCCTCCCCAGTTTCCACCTGAGAAAATTCCTTTCCCTGAAGTATGTGGTGTGTGCGCATGCACACGCAGTGGCGGAACTGAGGAGGCACACATGCACAGAACAGCACTAACAAGAAGCAAAATAAAGCAACAAACACAACCACCAAAACAAAAGAACTTCTGTTAGGGAAATGAATCTAAGAGTTTCCTCCAATTATCTAGTTTTTTTTTTGTTTTGCTTTGTTATTGTTATTATTATTATTAATTGTGAGATGTGAGTGGAAGGGTGTTGTCATGGAGGGCGCTTTTTGTTTGTGTGTTGTGTGATTGCACTCTTCTTTTTGACACCAGTTGTCGTGTCTTTGCGTGCATCTTTATTAGTATTATTTTTTTTTCTGGGCTCTTCTTGTTTTCTTCTGTGCCCCGCGGCGTTGGTGGCCGAAGGGAAGGGAAACCACCGCTCCTTGAAAGGTGCCATTTTAGCGTCTGAAGAAGGAGATGCTCTCACAGAATGTCGCCAAGACGACGGTGCCGTCGTACTACATGATCCGCACCAACCTCCCACAGCGCAAACCGCAGAATCAGTGGGAGGGTGTTTATTACTTTGGCGGCATCACAAAGCGCCAGCGCCATCTCATTCTACTCCAGCGCAAACGTGAACGGGAGGCACGCATGCGGGCTTTCAGTGCCTCCTGTTCAAACTTGCTGCGGTTGTTGGAGGGGGACACGCAGGAACAACAGCAAGCAAAGACGCAGACGATACAACTTTCCTCCCCACACGGTCCATTCGATCTTGCCATCCGTTTGGCGCAGCATGGACTCTACCAGCAGGCGAGCCGCATCGTGGACGAGTTGCACCAGCAGCGTGCACTCCGCATGAGTCACTACGGCCTTCTTATTGATGCGCTTTCAGCTCCTTGTTTGGGGCAGCGCATTTTGTACGGCAGCGCACAATGCGACCCCGCTCTAACCTACAAGTTACTTGGAGACGAGAATGGCGAGGAGCGGGCGCAGGAGGCCCATCGATGGTTTGACATGGCGTTCGCATTGCTGACGACAGAGTGCAGGATGAGTGGGAGTGAGCATCGTTTGCCACAAGCCACGGCGGCCGCCACACATCTTGTGAATGCACTGATGCGTGCACTTCTGACGTGCGGCTACACGCATGTGAGTGCCGTTCCTGACGCCGTGTACGACCGCATGGGGTTGATGGGTATTTCGCCCACAATTAGCACGTATGAGCTTGTGATGCTTGCTCTGTCGCTGCAGGGAAACATGAAAGAGGCGGAGAGCGTCTTCTCTTTCCTCCGCAGGCATCATAACGAACATGTGACAATTGGCAGCTTCAACGCCCTTCTTCTGGGTCACCGTGAGTGCCGGCAGTTTGACCGGTGCGATGCCATCTGGCAGGAGCTTGTGGACCGTCGTTGGCCGCGTGCCAGCACGCTCACAGCCGAACTGTACCTCCGAAGCATCGTTGATCACTCCTACACCCCAACGAGTGGACCGCTGCAGCGCTTTGGGAACATAAATGTGGTTGAGAAGAAGAAGATACCGCTTGTTTTGGCGCAAATGGACGATCTTGGCATCCCTCGCGCGCACCTTTCGCGGCCACTCATGGATGAGGTGGAGGACGCCCTGCGCAAGTTCCACATTTACAAGTCCAGATACTACGAATGGGGCCGTGCGGTGAAGCAGTTTAACTTTATCGAGTTCCGCCGCCGCAACGGTTGGATGTACGACTTGCACCTGATGAAGAACACCACCAAGCAGGTGGGGCCATTACGCGACTTCAACCAACCAGACGCCACGCAGGCGCCGGTAGCAACGGTGGAGATACCAGCGTTCTTTAACGAACGTCCTGCATGGGAGCAGCCACCGCTAGAGGAGACCTTATACGTCACGGAATCAAGGGAGCGGTATGATGATGTGCGCTCAGGTGATATTTACGAGGATCGCACTCGTAGTCTGCACGACCGCTCCCCTACGTGGATGAACGAGGTGCCTGAGACGCGTTATGACCACCTGTACGGCGTGAACCACCCGGACATTGCAAAGATTGGCATCCGACGACACCTTAACGCAGAGTATGTGAACCGCAAGGAGGTTGTGGAGCGCGACGCGGCTCTCATGAAGAAGAACTTGAGCACTGGTCGGCGTCTGCGCCGCAAGGTGGAGTCCTCTCGTACACACCGCAACGCTGGGTCAATGAGTGGTGCCGCGCCTGCATCGGCCTCACGGTAGGCAATGAGGGCGTTGCCGCATTCTCGCGTACACACACACATATCTATGTTTACCTTACGTAAAAAGATTGAATGAAGACAAATGAGGCCTGGCGTTGTTGTTGTTTTTGTTGCCACATTTGCTTTTTTTCGCTTGTGAGCCGGGATGTTAGTTTGCTGCTGGGCATTAGGGAATCAATTGGGGGCTCTGTATTTGAGAGCCACCATCACGTCACGAATCACTGTCTATATATATATATATAGTGTTTGTGTTGTGTTGGGCGTATTGTGTGCGTGTGTGGCGGCGAGGCTTTGCGTCGTCGCTTTGTTAGCTTTTACGATGACGATGGTGACTACATTACTGTGTCTTTTTTTTTTTCTTTTTTTTTGTCACACAGTGGCTTCAGTGAGCAACTGACACATCTGCCTTAATCGTACAGCAGTTTTAGTAGCTTCACAAAAGGAGGAAAAAAGAAGAAGGAGAAGGAAAAGTAGTTGTTTTTATTTTTGGAAAAAGGAATAGAGAAGGGGGGTAAACGACAACAACAACAAAGTATATATATATATATATATATAAAGAAACATATTTATTTGCTTGTGTCTGCACACGATGGGACGCGGCAAGGGACGTGCGAAAGGCATTGACGTGACGAAGCACTTTTTTCAACCAACGGGTCCGGCGGACCGTGTTTTGGTACAAATATCCCCCTCGCACACGCTGTATGTGAACGAGGAGGACCTCAGCCCCACGCAGGGGAGCGAGGCGGCGCTTGCGCTCAAGCGCGAGGGGCGAATGGAGGGTCCAATGAAGTTGTGCGCCAACTGGAGACAGGGCGCCTGCCTTAGTCACGCAGCCTGCAACAACGCCCATGTGGTGGCGTACTTCAATAACTCCTCGGCACCGATGGGAAATGGCAATAACGGTGTTACGTCTATGGCCGCCATGCTTCAACGACAGCGCGTTGACGGAAGCCACTCGGTCTCGCAGCAGCAGCAGCAACACCAATCCCAACATCAGCACAGCTTTCATGCAGGGACGACGTCAGCCGAGTCCAATCGTGTCACGGAGCACAAGAGCGCAGCCACAACAACGCACAGCACACTTATTCCGGCACCGAGGAGTCAGCAGGCAAATAGACGGCCTTCTTCTATGACTGCTTCTTCCGCGCCTCAGAGCTCTCCGAGTGCGAGCACGGCATGGGGCCGCAATAATGCGGTGGGAAACGGCAACCAACATGGAAGCTACCAGCCGCATCAGCAGCAACACCACCACCAGCCACATCACCATCGTCAACACTATCCACAACAACAACAACAACATGAGGTGATGAAGCAAAAACTCGGTGCGTCACAAAGTAGGGGGAGTCGGCTTGCTGGCCATAGGATTCACGACGACATTCATTGGACACCGCTCAATGGAATAATAAATGAAGTGCTTTTAGAGTCTGCAACACAACAACAAAAAGGGAAGAGTGAAGGGGGCCACCAGGATCTCCCCTCCATTGCGAACCACCAAAACTCCAACACAACGAACAGAGTGGATGGACCCAACTTTCCTTTCTCAGGTAGTCTTAATGATGCTGTCGGCGATGATACTTGGGTGGCTTCGACGCTTGCTCAAACCCCTTTGAACACGGCCATTTGGTATGATGGATACGCAGGTCTGTGGGAACCTACACTTAGTAGTGGGGCAACAACGACGGCCAGGACGGAACCAACCACACTGACAGCGGGAGAGAATCCTGTCTTTTTGAGTCATGAGTTGAATAAGATGGCTTCTGCGGCATCCCATGGGGAAGTGTGGGGCTCCCTCAGCGGTAGCAACGGCGAGTCTACAGTGAGCACCAACAAGCACATTGAAATGTCTTCTACTTCAGAGGCGCTTAAGAGTCAACTGTTGCGGGAACTAGTTGGGGCGGGTGGTGACGTCAACGACCCTAGCCCGGCGGAAACGCAATTAAGGAGCAGTACCCACAGGAACCCCAGCATCTCTTCAGCCTCTTTTGCGGAGGCAAAGAACTCGTCGGGGTTGCTGAACTTATTAGGAGGCGGTGGCTGTGATACTGTCCTTAATGATCGCGTAGGGACTCCTACTGTTTTTCCGGCCACACCGAGCCGTAACGCCCACACAATTCAACACCTCATGTCGCTACTCACCACGGAGTAAGCGTAAAAGACGTGAAAGAGGGAGGAGGAATGACATGGGATGGCGAATTGACGCTGAAGTGAAAAAGAATGAACAAAGTGAAGGGTGGGAAGCAATGTGAAAAACAAACAAACAAACAAAACTCCAACAAACGAAAATGTGGGATAGTGGGAGATGAGGATTTTGCAACAGAATGTGAAATACCTGCCTGTTTTCAGTGGTATATAGCACCTGTATGTACGTATTTATCTCTCTCTCTCTCTCTCTGTGTGTGTATATGCATGGACACAGGGTTCAGACACGCAATAGCGCATTCCGTTTTTTTTTTCTTTTTCCCATTTTTTTTTCTTCCTCTTCTTCTTTGCGCATATGTGTTTTTCCGTCTTTTTTTTTTTTAATTTTGTGTTTTCTCAGTTTGGACGATCTCTTGGGGATGATGCTTTTATTCTCTTCACTCCCACCTTTTATATGTTTACCACCGCCAACTAGCTGCAGCAATACAAAGTACGAGAACAAAAAGCTGTTTGGTTTGATCCTCGTGTTGTAATTTTTGCTTTTTTTCTTTCTTTTTTTGTTTTTGCGTGCTTCTGTCTGCATTTGTTTCCGGAGTGGTGGTGGTGGGGCGGGGCGGTGATGCCAACGCCTTTTGAATGCACATATTTATATTTATTTATATGGCGGAGAGGGGGGGGGGGAAACAATTTCTTTTTTTTACATTTCTGTACTCTTTCTAATGTTTTGCACGGGTGAGCTTGACATGTGGGCATATTTTTGGATGCACCCAACACACACACATACGGACACAGAAGTACGTGATTTTTATCTGTTTTTTTTTTTTTTTTTTTTTGCACCGGTGACTTTGGTAATGGCTGAGAGGCGGGGGGAGAGAAAAAACAAGAAGAGAGAGGAATGATAAGTGAGAGAGTTGCAATGTATCTGAGTACACAACTGTGTGGGAGGTGGGGGGCCATGTTTGTAATGGGGGTGCCTGTGGACGCAGCAGATAAAAGAGGAAAAGGGAAGGATGCAGTGAAGTAAGAAGAATCATGAGGCGGGGGTGCATGTATAATTAAAACGGACTGTTTTGTGTGACGATGAGGTGAGGGGGCGGGGGCTGAGAAACACGTGCATGTGGATGCAAGCCGAAGGCGGGAGTGAAAGAGAGGGGGAGAGAGAGGTATGGAGAGATAGAGTACTTGCGCTTTTATGAATAAAATAAGTTGCGGAGGGATAGGGAAATGATGGACGGCATAAGCAATCAAAGGTAAATAAGTTAACGAAGGGAGAATGGGTGGAGAGATGCATGAAAAAGTGAATGAATGAATTAGAGACGTGGGTTTGCCGTCGTTTTTTTTTTTTACTTTTCTTTTTTTTTTTTTTTTAATGGAGTGGAGCGAAAGGCGGGGCGTCGTGGTCGCTGCTGGTGAGTTTTGCTGATGCTTTGAGACTCTTGGAGGGGGAGGGGAATAAACAAGAAAAGAGGAGCAGAGACTACTGCGGACTCCATGAAGAAGGGGATGTCCGCAGGCAGAAAACAAGAGAGGGGGAAAAGAAAGTCAATGAAAATATATGTATATATACACTTATCTATATCTATACATATATACATATATATATATACATAGAGTGAGGGGGAGGGAGCTATTGGGCTCCAGTGCCTGGCGGGCGATCTGAGAGATGGATCGAGAGAAGAGGGAGGGGGCGTAGGGCAGTGGGAGGTGTGGTATGTGCTGCATTGCACACAGGCATATGAATGTGTGCGTCATTTGTGTTATGTTTCTTTTTTTTTTTTTTGTGTGTGTGTGTTGCTTTGAATTTTTTTTTTGGGTCGTTCGCATCGCCGGCCCCCCGCCATGCGTGTGTGTCTTTTGTCGTTGTTTTTGCTTGCTGTATTTATCATCATTCTTGCTATTATATTTGTGTCGCTGTTTTTGGTCGTCCCTTTTGCCACTGTTTTTTTTTTTTTTGTTGTTGTGTTTGCTCCTTTTTTAAAATTTGTTATTGTTGGGTCCCTCATTGACAGCTGTTTTTTGGTCTTTTTTGCCTTTTTTTTGTTCTCTTTTGTCATGACTATTGCTGCCGCTGGCTACGGTCGTGCGCAGCGCCTTTAGTAGTTGCACGGATGCTGGACTTCATTATCTCCTGCGGCATCAATGGGGCGGAGAGCGGCTGCAGCGATTTTCCAACGATGGGGTTTTTGCTGCGCCTCATGAAGGAGGAGGACCGGGAAAACACCGCCGTGGATAGTCGTGGCGCCATCCATGAGCAAAGGGCGGCTCTGTCAGAAAGCAACGAGCCCGAGCCGCCGATCCCCACACTCTTGAAGGAAAAGGCGGTTGTGCCAGCGGAGCCGCTTTTCACCGCAGCGACTGAGCTGCAGCTGCCGCAGTCACCGGCTGCCACCATGCTGGGTTTTATAACGTCCAGCTGCGGTGACGGCAGCGATGGATTCCCCGTGCTGCAGTTTCTTAACCGCCTTCTTGGCGACGAGGTGGTACCCTTCTCGCAGGAGGGGGACACGAGAGGGATGTCTCGTGGGGTGCCAGCGGCGAAAAGCGTGAAGTTCGCGACGCCCCACCGTTTGCCGCCTGAGCGACCCCGGCCTTTGGTTGGTGGTGCAGCCGCCACGGTGATTTGTTGGCCCACGACGCAAGTTTCCATAAAATCACGCTCGAAGTTTACACCTCAAGCAACTGAAAGTGAACAGCCGCAGGGCAGTGATGGGGTCCCCGCCGTTTGGGCGTCCTCCTTGGAGAGTATGATGGGGCCGCGACATCTTTTCGTAAAGAGCGATTTGAAGGATGATATTGGCCCACCAATTTTGGAGCGCACCGCCACTTTTTCCCCGAACGGGAATATTTCCAGTAGAGAAGCACAGGACTTCAATAGCAGGACGATATCGTCCTCCGTCATTCCATGCGCATCATCGGAATTGGCTCAACCGGACCCATGTGACACCGCCGCAACGATAAAAAAGGGTTTTACTCCTCCACCGCGTCCTACTCGATCGGCGTCATCCAACGATGTTGTGGGATCGGGTGACAGAGCATCGTATGCCCGGCGTTATTTGCAACGGCTGTACTTCCGTGATCCTGTCGTCGTTCGACCCGCCAACGGTCCGCCGCAACATGCCCTCGGTATGCGAAGGAAAGAAAAGGAGTCCGTCTTTGGGCGGTGTTTTTATGATTTTACAAAACACATATTTACCCCGCCGCACACGTCCGGCTTGGCGGCTGTAAGTCACTTGAAAAATGAACGACGACTGAACGCGTTGTCTAACTTGGGCATGACTGGTGCGCGACAAGGCAGCTCCCGCACGAGTAGTTGTAGTGCGCTGTCGCAACCCGTTGGTCACCAAGCATCACCCAGAGCCACCTCTTCCTTTCGTCCAAGGAGTCACACAAGACGTGCATGGGACCCACGTCGGCCCGTCAAACATCAAGCACAAGGCCCAGAAGAACACAAGGCGCATCAAGATGAGGTGGGAGGGGGTTTGGTTGTCGAGGGCCGAGCGCTGGTGATCTCCTCGCGACAACATCCTCCTGCTCTCGTAAGGCAACTTCGTCGCCGAAAGGAACCTCCTTGCGGTCAGGTGAATAAGAAGCAATTGCAATAGAATTGTAGAGGACATGATATATGTTTTTTCCAAGTGCCCGCAGCGTGTCTGCTGCGGCATTTCTGCTTTGATGAACCAAAAAAGAAAAAAAAACATGTTAGGCTTTTCAATGTTGTATTTTAATTAATTAATATTATTGTTGCTGTGTTGGCTCACCTTCTCTCTTTACTGTTTGGATGCTTGTCGTTTTTTATTTTATTTACGACTTCTTCTTTTATTTCAAGAATTTCCAAATAGAGTCTTTTTTTCGGTGGGTGTGAGTGCGGGTGGGCGATGAGCGGCGAGAACTACGTGGAGGGAGACCTCGGCCCTGTCTTCAGTCAGGCGGAGCCGCTCACTTTGCCCGTCGTGGTGCAGCTGTTGCGTGGGCGGCAAAATACAGACGAAGACTCGGGTTTGGAATCTCCTGCAATGGCCCTCATTGAGAGGATACGGGAGCAGGTTGAGATGATGCAGGAGACATGTGCAGACGAGCAAAGTGTTCAGCATCTCATGAAGATGAAGTTGCGTCTGCGTGGCGAAAGCGAGACGGGCTTTGCGAACGCACATCTGGCGAATTTTATCCTCGACAGCAACGGGAATGTGACGGGGATGCGGGAGGCCGCGGAGGATGGGGAGATCCACGGCACATTAAAGACTGCGCGCATGAAGCCTTTTGAAGTGGTTTCATTAGGCACGCTGTGCCCAAAGTCCGTGGAGGAGGCGCTTGTTCTTGTGCCCTCGCTCGCTCGCTACGAGCCAAGTGACTTGAATCTCGCATTGAACACACTGGATTCACTCTGAGGTGGGGCGGGGTCAGGAGCAACGCGCACTTGTTTTTATTACTTTGTTTTCGTCACGGAGCATCCCTTTTGCGCATATATATATATATATATATATATATATATATATACGGTTTCTCCTAAGAGGGGCCTCTCTGAGTCCTGTGCGGTACTGTGGCGTTGCTTTTTCATCTTCCGTCTTTCTCTCAGAGAGTTTATTTTGGATGACGATTTGTGTTCCTCGCCTTTTTTTTTTCATTTTTTTTTTTCTTTGCGTGTGTGAGATCATGTGATCTTTTTTCCGTTGCTGCTGCTTCTTTGTGCCCATCTCTTTTTTTGTAAAACTCTTTCGTGGCTGGTGGCTGGCGGGGGGAGGGGTGGCAGTGTGTGGTTGCCGCAGTAGACGGTGTGGCGGTCGGTCGGGATGGCTACTTTTAAGCGGGAGGATCTCCGCCGTGTCTTTTTCAGTGATTTGTCCGAGCAGTGCGACGAGGACATCATTCATGAGCTCTGCACGCAGTTCGGTCCCATCGCAAACATCACGTGGCCCTCAATCGGCAATCTTACCGGCAGTGCACAGCACAAGACGTTCTGCTTTGTGGATTTTATTAACGCGGAGGACGCAAAGTACTGCTACGAGGCACTCTACCGCAGCCGTGCCAGGTTGTTTGGAAAGGAGTTGCGTGTGTCCCACGCCAGCACGGATATCTCAATAAAGGAAAGCGGCAGTCAAGTACACAACCGCCACGCCGTGCATGAGCTGCACGAGATTGGGGCGAAGGTTGTGGTGCGTGGTGTGGACCTCAACGTCACGGAATACGATCTCACATCGTTCTTTGGGCAATTTGGAAAGTTTGCCGTTCCGCCACGCAAGGTGCGTGACGTTGAGGGGAACTTTCGCGGCGTTGTTATTCTCTCCTACGAAGACTTTGCATTTAGCGATAAGGTCATTGATGAGATGGACCAGAAAGTCTATAGGGATCGGCCTATTTCCGTTGCCTACGCGATGATGGAGGACGGCAGTGGACGACAACATGGCACACCCGAGGAACGTGAAAATGCCAAACTCTTCCTTGAAGAAGCACGCAAGCACGCCGAGCGCATTGCGAAGGAACAGGCAGAACACGAGCGGGAGAAGGCACGCAGACGTCGGGAGAATGTTTCTTGGGCGTCTGGCATTGATCCGTTTGCCCGAGGACAACAAATGTGAGTTGCGTGTTTTTTTTTTCTCTTTCTGTTTTGCACACTTCTTGTTTGTTTTTCTGTGTTTTATAACAGTCAATATGAGGCGGAGGAGGTGGCGAAGGGGACAGCTGTTTCCATATGCTCAAATGTACTTCATTTTTATTTTATTTTTGGCTTGTTGCTATTTCTGGATCCTCAACGCGTGTTACCGCCTGCTGCCTGCTGCTGCTGCTCCTCTGTGTGTGTCTGTGGGAAGGGCGAGAGGACAGGCAGGAAGAAAGTGCGGACGAGGGGTACGTGAGAGTAGGCAACAGTGGAGGGCGCAGGGAATAGGGCCAAAGTAAGCGGCCACACGCGCATCCGCGCTTTTTATGCTTCGCACGAGTGATGCACATCTGGCGGATGCCAGGGAGGACCGGCTGCAGCGGGCACTGCAGGAGAACCGTCAGCTGAAACACGAGTTGCAGGAGCTGCGGGAGAAGCTTAAAGTTGTCCAGGTGAAGTTCTACAAACTGACGAAGGATTTGAAGCGTGTCTCACCGGAGATGCTGCAGCAGCTGGACGACATCACCGCCACCACGCTGCCAACAGTCCGCCCTGCTTCCTCAGGAGACATCCGCGCACACTCGCTCCGCTTGCCGGGGGCCAAAAAATCCACGAGACAGGTGTTCGCAACGTCGCTGCCTCGCGTAGATGCCATAAAGACCGGACCCACGCACGCTGAAATGGAGTCGAAGGAACTTCAACGCTGCCGCGAAGCATTGCGGCAGGCCCAATTAGAAATTGCGTCGTTGCGTGCGGGTGCACCACAAACAACGGCAGTAGCGGAAAATACCACCGGCACCGTCACACCGGTATTGCCATCAGCATTGCCACCCGCTGTCTGTCTTGTTTTGGATCAGCTACGCCAGGATATTGCGCGCGTAACGGCTGAACGGGACCAGGTGAGTGCGGAGTGCGATGCCCTTCGCGAGCAGTTCGCCCGCACCCGCGCGGAGTTTGAAAGCGCGCATCTTCTGCAGCGGCAACAGCGTTCCTTTGAGAAGCACTCATTTGACGTCCTCAACGAGAGGGCTGCGACGGCTGAAAGCGCGCGGCATCATTCGGAATTGGAGTACCAGAAGATTATTGATGCTCTTACACGAGAAAAGGATGCCTTGGCGCTGAAGCTTCGTCTTTCAGAACAGGAGAACTCTGAGCGGTTGAAGGAGCTTTCTTCCGTGGACCCCACGGTGCTCATACAGTTGCAGAATGAGGCGCATGACAAGTCGAAGCAGATTACGGTGCTGACTAGTCGGATGCAATGGGCCCAGCAGCAGGCGGAAACGTTAAAATCGGAATGTTCTCGTCTTGTAGAGGAACTTAAGCGGTTTCAATCCATTCATTCGGAAACCAAAAAACAGTTGTTTGAGGCTGAACACGATAAGAGTTTATTGCAGGTTCGCTGTGCGAGGCTGGAGGAGCTGGAGGTGACGCTTCGGCGCAAGAGCGAGGAACTGATCCACATGGAGCAAGAACTGCTTCGAACAACAGGAACGCTTCAGAGCTGCAACCAGGAGACAGAGGAGGCAGTGCGGCGGGAACTTTCTTCTCGTATTGCTGATCTGCAGGAAATGCGGGACAATGCCGAGCTGCGGCGACGTGAGAAGGAGTCACAGCTGCTCAATGCGCAGCATCAGCTTGCCGAGTTGAGACGACAGTTGGAGTTGGCCCGCGGGGATGCTGCCATGTACCGCGAGCAGTTACAGAAGGCGGAGATGGAAATATCGGAATTAACAACTCGGGCCGCGCTGGCTGGTCGCGCCGTTGAGGATTTGGGGGATGAACACGTGCAACGCGCACTTACGGTGGCAGCGATGCGAAGGACTTCATCGAGGCGTTTGGGTGAAGCCGGTGAGGCGGAAGAGGCGCTCGACATGTGGGATGCGTTAAAATGGGACGAGAACTGGGAAGCCGATCAACTACGCGAGGCGTTGGCGAGTGCGGCACTCGACATGGAACTTGCGAACACGCGCTGCTCACAGATGAGTACTCAGATTGAGCAGAGCCGCTCTCTTCTGCAGCAGATCTCACAGGAACGAGATGCTCTCTTGGATGAGAATATAGAAATGCGCCGTCGGCTCTCACATGTTCAGACCGTTTTCGCAAAGCAACAGCTTGAGGCATATCGTGCAACGAAGGCACGCGGAGTCGATTCCGCGCATGCACGATCTGGTCTCATTTCTTTTCACATACAAGATGTGGAATGTGATGAAGTTCTTCTCCGTTCCCTCGGCATTGGGGAGGCGGCTGGGGCTGCGGTTAGCTTCTTTTTTACTCTGGATGGGTTGCGGTCATACGATACGATGCTGTCACCAACCTTTTACTCCCTGTACGAGCCGCTTGATATTCGGTTCCGATACGATCACCTCGATAGAGATGAGGTTACGGTGGATGCGATTAGAAACACGACATTTGTCTTTCAGCTTCACCAGGTGAAGGGGACAACGAACACAATTGTCGCTATGGCCGAAGTTCCTGGGGTGGCGCTATTGTCGTGTCGCGAACTGACAGTCTCGGAGAGGATTCAGATGTTGAATGGGGACGGGGAGCCGGCAGGCGCCATCACAGTTGAGATGTGTGCATCCCACCTCATGTTACCTGTCCTGCTTGACCGGCCACTAGGCAGCACCCTCTTTACAGCGGATGCATTGCGGGCAGCTTTGTTGTCGCTGCGAAGTGTGGTGGCCCTAAGGGTGCAGGTGTTTCGTGCAAATGGTTTACTGGGCACGCCGGTGCCTCAACCATATGTGTTCTACACCACATCTGCGCCAGTTGGACTAAGCTGCGTGCGAGACACGGTGGTGCGTCCTTCCTCGAAGCCTTTCACGACTGACCCGGTCTTTGACGCAGACCCCGTCGATCATCGATTGGTCGTCGATCGAGAGCTTGTTGAGTTCATTGCGGGGGGCGCCGTCGTTTTTATTCTTTTTGACGAGCAAGCGAAGGATGTGCAAGCGAACCTGGGAGTGGCGGAGGTGCCGTTGCGGGCGCTATTGGAGTCACCACAGGCGG